ATACTGTGATTTCTCCCTCTTGATACTGCCTGATGTCAATCAAGAGTTAACAGATGAAAACTGGACTGCATTGTCAAGCCTATAGCTACAAAAGAAGAAACATTGTTTGAAATGAAGCTTCCTGAAACAAGAAACCTCAGTTGGAAAAGCCTCAGATACCTTGTTCTCTATATGATCACGTTTCGCTTTTGTAAACTTCCCTCTTCTATTGCCCATTAAAAAAAAATCATGCTGCATCATAATTTTAGGATTCTGTGTTTGCTTTCTACGTGTTTTGGTGAAATAACACCACTGAGAGAATCTCCTGTGCAGGGCATTGGCATTTCCATCACAGTTAAACTGTATAGCAAGAAGAGAGCTAAGACCTAAGACCTTACCCAGTCAAACCCACTCTGTTAATCCTCTGGTCAGCAGTGAGTTTTCATGTCATCTATGCCCACTTTAGATATTGTACTGCACCAGTTTGAACTGCTAGAAAATTTCTGGAGACAGAAAATAATACAGGGAACAGAAAGGAGGATTACCATTATTTTCACATCCAGAAGCATGCATGCATGCAGTAGTAAAACAAGAGAGCATAGGACACTTACTAGAAAGCAGCAGGTAGCCTATCATACCCTCTTACAGCACAATACCTTCATTACACCTTCAGTCTTACCCCTTTCCTTATTCCTAGAACACTATCCAGTAGTCTACATCTGAAATTCTATTGAGGTGCTTTGACAATAAGCTAGGTGCTATCACAGTACCCTACTAAATAAGATAAACACAACAGCAAGCAACAATTGAGAGGCTACTTGGCTTTTATTTACCTTGAAGTAATTTATTATTGCTTCCAGCTGGTCCACGAGCATTGTTGGATCACTGTTCCCTATTTGCTGAGAACTCTCTATTTTTACTTTCCTTTACTGCAGTTGCCTTCTGGTCATCTAAATTGTTCTTTGAAATGTGTCTGCTGACCTTCTTTAGGCTCCAATTTCCACTTCCCTGTTTCTCAGGATTCTGCCAGGAGGCTCTTTTACTTTGCTCAGTAATAAGAAGTTAACCTAGAAAAAGTTACCTGGTTTTGGACATTTATGATTCCAGCTGAGGCAGTTTTATGGTCTCAGAAAGCAAGATAGGAAAGTACAATGTAGGGAAGCAGATTCAAGTTTCCTGTTTCTCGGACTGGGGTTCCGTCACCAGCTAATTTTTCTCTCTGAATGTCTCTTGAAGTTCCCTTTGCTGCTGTGAACTGTCTAATATTCTCTTTTCTATGTTGTATAGAATTATAGCATCATCTACTATTCCCCCTTTTTTTACCGTGTATAGAATTACAATAGTTTTGGTAAAACCCCATGGAAAGGTAGGGGAAGTAGAGATAAGCTACTCCAATGCTTTTGGAGAGGCTATTTAGTACTTTACCCTGGTTTTGAAAGTATTATTTAAGGTTTGGGCAGTTTTCTGACACCTGATTCCTGTAAAGATAAGATCAGACACACAGGGGAGCTCTGCATGCTGTAAGCAAAATTTCCTAATGATCCATAGGCATTATATAAACACTGTCTGTAAGAGCACAACACTCATCTGCAGATCTCTGAGATACGGGGATGGTTTGGTTCTATTCATTTGCAGTGGCTATGTTCCCTCAAAACAAAGAGGAAAGCGAACAGGTGAATGTTCTTTGGATGCAATCATTAAGTGTTTATTAGGACCAAGAAGTGTAGATTTTCAGCAAAGTAAAGGAAAAATACAAGATGGATTTTAAAAGGGCCAACTTAATAAACTGTATCAAACTGATTTATTTTCAGCACATTTTTCTTCTGTCTTGGTTCAAGTTTCAAATGGACATGACAAATCACAGTATGAGGTGACCTCTATGGATCTTTCCTATTAGACATAAAGGAATCAAAGTATAACACTATCAAAGAAAGGCATGGTCCCAAACAACTGAAAACATACATGGACCAGTTTCCAGTGATAAAAGTGCTTTTGTGCTCTGACAGTGAGAAACAAATTTTCATGATCAATAATTTGATTTCCAAGAATGAACAAGATGCATTGTGAGAGAATTTACATTAAAAGCAAACAGAGCACAAACAAGACAAGCAGAAGAGCAGTTCCCATGGGTGCTAAGAAGCACACATAGTTCACCATTCCTTCAGAGAGCCATTCTTCTCAGCTCAGTTGCACATCCAGGTCTTGCCGTCAGCTCCTCCACTGCTTCTTCTGCCAGACACAGCTTCTGCCATGCTTAGCATGGCCCACAGCCCTCATAGCCCTGGCTCCAGAGCTGGCTGGAGGAAGAGGAGGAGAAGCAGCCCCCATAGATAAGGGAGCCCTGCAGGCCCCTGGGGCGGTCCAGCCCCAGTGGGGATGAGGTGCCCACAATGCTCTCCTGAGGGCAGGAACTGAGGATGGGACCCGGGAAGGTGATGACCACAGGTGGTGGGTAGACCACAGCACGGGAGTCTCCACAGGAGGTGACACAGGGCTGGCTCCAGGCGTTGGCGATGGGCTGCGGGCAGGTCACCTTGCAGGGTGGGGAGCAGCGGGAGCTGAGCTGCCGGCTGGAGAAGGACATCTTCGGGCAGAGAGGTGAACCTGCAACACACCAGGGAGCCTGAGCTAACCTTCTGCTCATGCGCTTGCTGCACAGGCCACCTTGCTCTGCCTTGCAAGCAGCAGGGGAGGCTCAGAACATGCTGTCTGGAGTTGCTCTGCTAATGCTTAGGCGTTTTAGCTGTCTCTCTTTCTCTCTTCCCTGCCTCCTTTCTCCCTCCCCAGCAGCTCCTCCATGCTCTCATAGGATTTCTGAACATTTAGTGCTGCCCAAGCCAGCTGAGAAGCTAGGCCAAGGTGCACCAGTCAGTTCATCCTCCAGAGTAAAAGAACTTGGACTGAGCCCAATATTGGCTGAGTCCTCTGATTTGTAGCTGCTACAGTGGAGCTTGGACAGATCTGCAGCTGCCCTGTTCATCAGTGAGAATATCAGAGAAAAAGGCCTTCATGCAAAACTGGTTGAGGTTCAGGCTATCTGCACTTAAAGATAAAAGATAAAGAAGGGATAGACTTACTCGGATCAACAAAGAGGAGAAGTGAGGACCTGTGATCTGAGGACTTCTGAGCCAGATGCCCTTATATACCATCTCCTTGATTGCCTGGAGGGGATTGAGACATAGTTCATGTTTCAGATTATTAAAACACATCAAGACACATTACTTCCCACGCTTCTATGACTGATTTATTCATCTTTGGACAATTATCAGTTTCTTCCAACACCCTTCTGTTTCTTCCTTAAACCTTTTGAAGCAGTTTCACTTCCTGCAGCATTTTGCTGATTTTACCAATATGACAAAAGTGTTGGAAAACTACTTTGCTTGAGCAATTGCTTCACATAGCCAGTGTTTTTCAAGCACTCCGCAGTATCACAGGTAGTGCAATGCAATGTGGGTTGATTTGCTTCCCTAAACCCAGCTGGTACTGAGTTGAAGCACTAGAGGGCTTATACTTGGAATAAAGGTTAAAGATATACTGCATCTGCTTTGTTCCTCATCCCAGCTCCACACTGCAGGTCTGATACAGCACACTAAAGCATAGAGGTGATTTGTTTTGTGAACTCTTGGAGATCTTCTGTATTTTCTTTTGCCTCTGAACAGAAAACCACAACTACACATTCTGTCCCTCTGAAGTCTTTGCACCACAGCCCCAGTAGATGCAGGCCGGCACATCCTCCCGGCTGCAGTGATATTATGTCCCTGTGTCTGATGTGAAGAAAATCCTTCAATAACTATTAAAATGGTGTTTTGTTGTTTCTTTGTTTTACTTAGGTGAAAATAGAAGAGAGAACAACAATCCTCTAAAGCCACACAGGGGATCAGGATGCTTTATTGTGTGTTACAGGACACCTAAGTTTGGGGTCTAGCCCCATGTGCTTCCTTTGTCCCTAAGGAGAGACCCTACTTCAAACGCAGACCCTAGGGGCCCTGGCTGAAAGCATACAAAAAACCTTAACTCCTCTGGGAGATGATTGCAATGTCCCACCTTGCTTGGATGCCTGCAGTGTCCTCAGTGATTCAGTGCCTCAACACTGACCTGCACCAGCATAGGAAAGGGATTAGAAGTCTAGATATTCCCAAAGGAAATTTAATAACAGTCCCCAAGAAGGTAACAGTATCTGGAGTTAAAATATTGTAATGAACTTAGAGTATGAAATCAACCTGGGAAACAGAAACTTCAGTATCTGTGAGGAAAACAAGTAATAAATAATCATCCTGCAAATCTAGAGAAGTCAGCTGAGTGATTTCTAAGAAGGAAGAACCTGAGAGACACTGAGGATAATGTGGGCTGGGTAATACTTGCTAACAGTGAGGAAACTGTTTGCCTGGATGAGGAGTTGAGGTGTGACATGTAATCTGAGTGTTTGGGAACTAATTAAGATCTTGTTCATGAGGTGTCACAGACCAGCAGGCAGCTCAAGAAACAGTATAAAAAGGGCTCACAGAACAGATGGCGTCAGTCGGCTGCTCTTTACTTCTCCTCTTTGGTGTCTTGAGTAAGTTTGACCCTGCTTAATCTTTCTGGGTTAGAGTGTTACACTTGAGTAGTTTTAACTCTTTCAGAAATACTCTGCTTGCCTTTCTAATGCCTCTTTTTCATCAAAAATGCACTCTTTCTGCAGGCTTTGGTAGATGTAGTGGGTTTTGCTGAAAAACTTGGTGATGGGTGATCTCCAGCTTGTTTGTCACTTTGAGGGTGGCCAGCTCTAGAAGCTTTCAGTGTGCGGAAAGCCTATGAGGCATGGAGGAGCTGCTGGGGAGGGAGAAAGAAGACCACGGAAGGGGGAAGAGAGAGAGAGAGAATAAAAGCACCTAAGCATTAGCAGAGCAACTCCAGACAGCATGTTCTGAGCCTCCCCTGCTGCTTGCAAGGCAGAGCAAGGTGGCCTGTGCAGCAAGCGCATGAGCAGAAGGTTAGCTCAGGCTCCCTGGTGTGTTGCAGGTTCACCTCTCTGCCCGAAGATGTCCTTCTCCAGCCGGCAGCTCAGCTCCCGCTGCTCCCCACCCTGCAAGGTGACCTGCCCGCAGCCCATCGCCAACGCCTGGAGCCAGCCCTGTGTCACCTCCTGTGGAGACTCCCGTGCTGTGGTCTACCCACCACCTGTGGTCATCACCTTCCCGGGTCCCATCCTCAGTTCCTGCCCTCAGGAGAGCATTGTGGGCACCTCATCCCCACTGGGGCTGGACCGCCCCAGGGGCCTGCAGGGCTCCCTTATCTATGGGGGCTGCTTCTCCTCCTCTTCCTCCAGCCAGCTCTGGAGCCAGGGCTATGAGGGCTGTGGGCCATGCTAAGCATGGCAGAAGCTGTGTCTGGCAGAAGAAGCAGTGGAGGAGCTGACGGCAAGACCTGGATGTGTAACTGAGCTGAGGAGCTCTCCAAAGTTTTGGGCACCCACAGCTCCCAATTAACCCATTGGGTCCCATGTGTGCTTCTTAGCACCCATGGGAACTGCTCTTCTGCTTGTCTTTCTTATGCTCTGTTTGCTTGTGATGTTGTTGTTGTAAATCTGCACTGATTTATCAAAATATGCATTTTCCATTCTGACAGTATGGGTGAGAAAGTGGGTCATTTTGTGCTTTTTCTGTGAACACATGCACTTTTTTCTGGTTTCATGTTCAACCTAGAAGATATGACAAAATTTATATCAGGGAAGTTTCTTTTCCATGTGTTGGGTTTTTGACTGCTACAGCTGAACCCAGGACAGCTTGTTATTAATGTAAATGTCATTTCTTGTTCCTAATAAAAATCATGCTGCATCCTAATAGTATTCTCTTTTTGATTTATTCCAGCCTTTCTTCACACCTCCATGCCTCACATCCATTTATTAGCTGACGATTATAGATTTACTCACATGGAAAAGGCCAGGATATACCCTGTGCAATGCATAATTTCTCCTTCCCAGCAGCTGGAACTAGAATCAGCATCTTGCATGGTTTATGTCATCATAAATATGCCTTTGCACTGGGAAGTGTGTTTGCTTCAGGACTCCTTTAAAGAATACATATGCAGAGTGTTGTTATTAGGGTTAGAAGACACCAATATTTGACAGATTTGTATATTCAAATAAATATACCCACTTTTGTCCTCACTTCATATCCATGTTTTCACTACACAAATTGCTGGCTGAACCTTGCACACTGTGTTTGGAAAAGATTCCAAAGTCATGTCTTTGGGACACATGGAAATCCTATCTCTGGAGGTCCTACAGATGCATCAGTAATTCCGATCTACGATTTTCAGACAAGCTGAGGGTAAACCAACACTTCAGCTCAGAAACATGAATTCATCTTGTCTAGAAGTGTCTGAGATAACTCTCACTCAGCTTGCTTCATGCTCTCAGCTGAACCACAAGAGCGCAGTGCTGAGTCTTGCGTTATCCTTATGAATATTTATTCCATGTTCCTTACTTTGGAGCCTTTCCAACAACAGAGTTCAGTGGGTCCACACCAGCAGCAGTCATGCTTTTTGGCTTGAAGTCTAGTCAGACCAAGGCATGAATATTATTTTTTAAGTACTTAGAAATACTGTTCTTCAAACAGAAAGTGCTACTCATTGCCTCCTTGTTGGCAGGTACTCCTTTTCATTGCATTCTCTTTATGGCTTATCCACCCAGGTTGGACGACAAGGTCCTGGTTGGATCCACAGCATTTTGAGCAACGTGGTCCAGTGGGAGGCATCCCTGCTCATAGCAGGGGGGGTGGACCTAGATGATCTTAAGGTCCTTTCCAATCCTAACCATTCTATGGTTCTATGTGTTCTGAACACTTCTGTAGAAGTATTCAAAAACCATACAGATGAGGCCCTTAGTGACATGGTTTAGTGGTGAACTTGGCAGTGCTGGGGTAATGGTTGGACTTGATGATCTTAAAGGTCTTTTCCAACCTTGTTGATTCTATAATTCCATCTGGATGCCGCTTTGTGTAAAATTACAAAAGCAAAGCATGTGGTAGTAACCCTGAACATCATGAATCAAAAGCAGCAGTCTGGGGTGTCAGCAGTATCGATACTAGTATGTAGCTACCTTCCTTTGCCCCTTCAGGAGGGCAGGATGGTTGGAAGAGGAACACATCTCCAAGAATTACGTGATTCATTTTAGGTATCTGTCATCACTGTCATTACCTGCTTCCAGACAAAATGAAACCAGGTGTGGTTTGGGCAGGAGGAACAGACCATGTTTCTTATTTATGTGAATCCTCTACCATAAACTATCAGTAACTTCAAGGAGTGTTTCCACAGGCACTGCCAGGAAAACCAAGTGGAGGGAAACCCCAAGGTGGCCCTGGAAGAGGCTTCCTCATCTTTCTTTCCCCGGGTAATCTATACAGCATTGCACTGCAGTATTGCTAACAGTGACCAAATGCTGATGGGCAAACAAATAAAATTAACATTTTAGAGCAGAAGTCTCAAGATTACTCAAAACCAGGCATTCAACTTTAAATTCTGTAGAGGGGCTGGATTTTAGAGGGGAAGAACTCATCTTCAGGAGGTTAGAGAAACATTTGCAATTTGTGTCAACTTAGCTATACAGAATGGTGAGACTCAAAATAGTTTTATGAGTAAATAACCAAAGAACTGAAGACAGGTTGCTGGATCTGAGGAATAAATCTGCTGAAGCAAGCAGCTAATCTCCTGCATCAGCTGAAGCTGCACTTTAAGATTCCAGCCTAATGTTTTTCTAGGGTGATGCATGGCTTCACTCCCTGACCAAGTTTCATCCCAAACCATGAATTGTTCATCACTCAGGAGCCCTGAGGATTTTAGCAATGGGCCCATGGAGTCCCTGACAATGAAAGCTGGACATGAATTTCTCATTCTTCTGTTCCCCACGCCAGGGTTGGATAACAGCAGCTCCCTGCTTATAGGTTACTCCAACTGTTAAAGCTTGAAGTCAGACATGTGCTTTGTGCTTATTTCTTGGCCAGGAGGATGGGAACAAATGCTTCCTATTTCCAAACTCAGTAGGAAGATGTCTGTGGAGCGTAATGTGTCTCATGTCAGAGTCATAGGAATTAATGTGCGTAGGTATGATGGGATAAGTTGCGTAACGCCCCCTCACTGGAGTATGACTTGGAAAGTGGGGTAGTATCTCAGGTATGTCAGCATATTGTGTTTATGGATAAACTTCTGAGCAATCTTTGCTCCATGAGGCAATCACAGAAATAGGAAAAAGCAATAAAAGAAACAAAATTACTCTGCCAGTGTTATGACAAGAAAGCAACAGTGATCACCATCACTAAGCAAAATAATTGCGTTATCTGGGGCAGTTACAGGTGGGGTGAATTTCTGTTTGATAATGCATTAGGACATCATCCATGAAGAATGTTTCATATCATCCTGATTGCCTAAGAAAAGGAATAAAAGCGCTCCCCATTCTGGGCTTCTCCAACCATTTCTCCTGACTCGCTCTTTGCTGTGAAAGGGTAAGTCTGAGCCTGATTCTATTGCAATGCTGCTTTTAACTGAAAACGAACTGATTCTTAGAAATGTTTGAAGCTTTCTTTTAGAAAGAACTGTTTCCTATATATTCCATGGCAGGCTGTAAAAACGCAGGAGCTTTCAGAGCAGTTAAAAGTTTGGGATATGCAAGCTTCTTTATAGTGAGAGATAGTGAATTCCTAATTCCTGACCATCCTGCCTTTATGACTTTGTTCAACTTGACTTGTAATGGTGACTACCAAGAAAAGTTAACTCTGAGTCTCAGACTGAACTAGGAAGCCAGCATTAGCAATAACATTTTGCTCTGTTCTTTGCCATTATTTCTGAATTAATTTGAAGCCTGTCATACATTACATTATGTACTTGTCATGGTCAGGACCTTATTTCTTTCCTTTATTCCCAGCCTTCCATTTTATGGGTTTTAGTAAGGTAAGACAGAGATCAAGAGGAGCTGTAAATTGATTTTACGAGTGATCAAGTGATCTTATGATTAAAGAAAAGGACTTCCCAAAATTACACACAGCTCCTAGTTTTGCCACAGTCATCTGTCACCTCAGTCATCTTTAGCAGGATGGCTGGGACCACATTCACAGGAGTCCTGGTTATACTGGAAAACTCACTAGTACTACATTCCTACCCAAACGTGGGATATTCTGCCAAGCAAATTCTCTTTATGAGCAATTACAGGATGTGGCTGCTGCTTATTTTATCTATGTAAAGAACATGCAGGAAAGCACTGGTGCCAGCTGTAGCATCTGAAAGGTTGGAGAATAACACTGTCATTAACAACCAGGCTTGCATCAATTTTAACTCAGTCTCTCCAGTTACTTCACCATATGGCCCTGGGCAACGCATTCATTTCTCAGTCTCAGTTACCTCTTACAACTGGAATAGCAACGACTTTCCTCATACAACAGTAGTGATTACAGGTGGTACAGAATCAGCACAGGATGTTACTGTAGAATTGCTAGCCAGTGTTTCTGTTCTTTTCTGCAGCTGTTTATGAAAGAAATGGTCAAATGCCACAGGAAGTCAGATTCAAAAGGGAATGGTGGAAAGGAGAAATGGTAAAGAACAGGGGGATAACTCAAGATCAAACATGCAGTTTCTTTGCTTGATAGTGATATTTTTATGTATTAACTTGGCTCCATAAATAGGAGTCAAAAGAAATAAGTATTGTTCCAGGGGAGAGGAGGAGAGCATGAGAAGATGAGAAAAGGGGCATGGCTTCTAAGACAAAAGCGAATTCTTTAGCCTCCTTCTGGTCTTCTTGCTATCTTGTATTCTTTCTCTTCCAAGTATAATCTCCATTCCACTGGTATCTGAGCTTTCAGCCTTGTGTTGCTTTGGTCTTGTGTGTTTCAGATTTATCTCCACTCCCTAAGATGTCTTCCTATAGACAGATGATCAGCTCCCACTGCCTTGCACCCTGCGAAGTGACCTGCCCACAGCCAATTGTGAATGCCTGGAGCCGTCCCTGTGTCACCTCCTGTGGTGATTCAAGAGCTGTGATCTACCCACCCCCTGTGGTCATGACCTTCCCAGGACCCATTCTTAACTCCTGCCCTCAGGAGAGCATAGTGGGCAGCTCAGCACCATCCAGCACTAGGAGCTTCTTTGGATCCATGAGCTCTCTGGGTCACAGTGGCTCCTACGGCTCTAGGAGCTTGTACAATTATGGGAGATCATATTCTTCCTATGGATCCAGTGGTTATCGTTTTGGGAGCTGCAGACCATGTTAAATGTGTAATGAAGAAGGAGCAATCATCCAACACCATGGAAGATATGCCTCCACAAATCCTGTTACTGGCCTTGCTTTCCTGGAGTGTGAACTGTGCATCGCTAAAAATCACTCTTAGGTGTCATTCTCAAGCTTATGATTTAATTCCATTTTCTGACTATTCTTTCCAGTGGCTCCTGATAATAATGGCCTCAAATTAGTTATATCAATGATCTTCGGCTGGTTGAAAGTGGGATGAGATTGTGTAAGTCTTTCCATGCCATGAAAAAGAAAGAGTATTGTATGTGAAATGCATAGCCCTGGAACAACTCTTTACTTGCAGCCTTTAATGAGACTCTGGCGATTTTCTCTGTGTTTTTCATTCTCAGTAAGATATTTGCTTCTTACATTCTCATTAAATTACTGTGCATCAAAATTCTGAGCTTTCTTGTCTTGTGGTGGGTTGTTGTTTTTTTTTTCCATAATTTGCTGTTTACATAGCATTCTGGGTGAGCATCAACCTCTATAGTGAAACATGAGTGTTTGATTTCTTTCAGTGCCTAAAGCTGGAAGGCAATCAAGCCCTTTTTTTTAATGAGCATAATAACTGCCTTCACAAAAATAATTTCATGCTGGATAAACATGTTTTGTAACCCTTATGACTATGTTTGAAACTTCTTCCAGGACAGGTGTGGTTCAGTGTGTATTTCCTACATGCTAGTAAAGAAAGTTACACACATGAGTAACTTTAAAGATCTTCCATGTGTCCCACTACTTGCTTGAGGCTCCAGTTTAAGTATGTCCCCATACATTGGTTTTATGATAGTTTTCATTGTTTAAAAATAGCATGTAATGATCTGTGGGTAAGATTTTCCTTTGAATAGCCATCAGGAATTTTTAACCGAATGGAACATCTTTGCTGAAATTCTGTGAGTTCTTTGAACTTTCTCATTAATATCTCTCAATACTTGTCAACCTCAGTTAAAATAAAGAAAGGATTAGTTCTTAAACCTTCCCTGTGGAGCAACACATATCATTCAGGCCAAAAAATATTTTCCATCTCAGGAACTTTACACCTAAATTTCAGGCTTCTCACAGGTGACTGTGGAATCATAGACCACTTTGGGTTGGAAAGGACCTTAAAATCATCCAGTTCCAACCGCCCTGCCATGGGCAGGGACACCTCACACTAAACTACGCCACCCAAGGCTCTGTCCGATCTGGCCCTGAACACTGCCAGGGATGGAACATAGACAACTTCCTTGGGCAACCTGTTCCAGTGCCTCACCACCCTCCCTATGAAGAACTTCTTCCTTATATCTAATCTGAATTTCTCCTGTTTAAATTTAAATCCATTCCTGTTGTCTTATGGCTACAGTCCCCAATGAAGAGTCCCTCTCCATCATCCTTACAGCCCCCTTCAGATGCTGCAAGCTGCTCTGAGGTCTCCACCCAGCTTCTCTTCTCCAGGGTGAACAGCCCAAATTCACAGCCTGTTTCCATATCGGAGGTTCTCCAGCCCCCTGAGCATCCTTGTGGCCCTCAATTAATGGATACTGGGTATGTTCTCTTTGCTCAACAGCAACATGGCTACAAGCTGCTTATTATGATGTCCTGTAAAGCTGTTTTTCTAGTGATACAATTTGCATACTATTAGTACAGCCCATTAAAAGGCATTCATCTGATCCTATGCTTGCAATGCCAACCAAGGTGGACCACACATCAGATGTTGCTCTTCACTTCTGCTTTTCCCTGTGTGAAGCTGCTCTTCCTAGGAGTACCAGCATGCACTGGCAAACTTCACAAGACTTGAGCAGGCTAATTCCAGGCAAACCCCAGACTCACACTGCAGAAATCTGTTTGGATAAGATCAAGAATGTGGCAATAACTTCAAAGGGTTTGGAGGTGTGACTTCACTTGTAAAATGAGCTGAAATTATATGAGGCTCCCATGAGATAGCCAGGCAACACCTCTTTCTTGTTAAGATGTGTCTGAAGGCTTTGCCTTGTTTTCATGCTTCATGTCTCCAGTGCACTGCATGGTTATTCTTGGAGTCACAAGGATGCTGTCAAAAAACCAGTACTTATTTGTACCAGTATGCAGAGCACTAAAGCTACCAGTTCAGGTATTTTCAAGACACATCACCGTGGTGTTGATCGCTATAGAAGTCCTTGTTTCAGGATTTTTGTTCATCCCACACTGAACAGTAGAATTACATTGATCCTTTTCTCAGCCCGTCTTGCTGAGAAGATCCTCTGGACTTGAAATAGCAGCCGGTTTCTCACGCTGGGGTGAAAGGGTGCAGTCAAACATCATTTCATGTGGATGTTGTCAGCATACCTGGATGAAGCTGCTCTGCCTACGTACTGGTTATACAACAGAAAAGGCACATGTGGGAGCTGGAGGTTAGAGCCCAGACTAAAAATAGATCACCTTAACACATTTTGATATATTGAGGGACTTTACTGACTTTGAATGGTTGAAGACATAATACTTCACACCACCACTATTTGCCAGTCTGAATTTGCGTGTTAGGACCACAGACCAGAGAAAACACCAAAGGACTGTTCTTTAGCTGCCTTACATTATTCTGTACAGCTCCTGACAACCAGCAATCTGCCACTTCCCAAATGCACAGCAGGCTGAACTTGCATTACGCTTTCATCTAAGTGTAATACAGATGAGGACAGCAGAAGATAAGTGATTTCACTGTCAGTAACAAAGCGTCCCAGGTCACACCATATGCAGATGTAAGATGGGAGGAACACCAGCTGCTGTTTATCATCATGATCTGGAAGCAGTCCTGAGATCTTGGCAGTTTGCTGGCCACTGCAACATGGGGATCACATCTGGCTGTGAGGTCTCCTGCAATTCCCGGTCAATCATGGGAAGTCTGGGCTGTTGACAGCACCAGCAACTCTTGTTCCTCCTGCAAGCGAAACAAGTAATTACCAAGAGCAGGAAGCAACAATAAATGACATCACACTGTCTCATCTTGAGCTATAGAGGTCACTACACTCTCTCTTCTCTTGTCTAAGTGTGCTCTGAACACGTGCTTGCATCTTAGTACAAGGTAACACTATTGTTAAATGAGATGCAATCGGAAGTTGCTTCATAAAGATGATGTAAATACAGCTTGAAGAATATGCCCTCCCCACGCACTAAATTACATTTCAAGACAGATATCTGTTGGAGCTAAGCCTTTCATGTTTGATTTAAATAGGTGGATTCCCTAAATATTTAGTCACTACTAGAGCCTAATGGTTTTTTATGTGGTTCAGAATCACACCACTGGTAAATAGCCTGCAGGCACAACGGCTTAACAGATGCAGAAATATGTCTTGCTGAATGACAGCTTCCTTCCAGGCTTTGATTCTGGAAGAACTAGTAAAGTGACTACTTGCAGTCTGCCTTTATCAGTTTTGCAGTTGGAGGATCTGAACTTGAATGTTTCAGATGTTTTAAACAAAATGCTCTATCCAAGAAACCTAAAGAAATTAATCTTCTTCTTCTTTTTTCTCTTTTTTTTTTTTTACTTTATTCTCCCCTTTTACTTAGAAAACAAGTTATATAAGCCCCATGTCTTCAATATTCAGGTCAGCGTATTTTGGAAGTGTTCAAGACCACGTTAGATGGGGCTTTGAGCAACCCGATCTAGTGAAAATATATCCCTGTTCACGGCAGAGGAGTTGGACTAGGTGATCTTTAAAAGTCCTTTCCGCTCCAAACCGCTCCTTGATTCCATGATTCTATGATCTGTTAAATGTCATACGTCCTGTAACTTACTGACCATGCCATACACCATTTTTCAGCTAAAATAAGCAGAACTCCTTGAAAACATGTGAATAAGAATGAAAAGCAAACCTGAAGTTAACCAGTGGAATATAAAACTGGAAACAGAGACTATACAATTGTTAGATGGGATTACTGGAGAGAGGAATTCAGTTCTGGCCTTTGCCAAGTGATTTCTTTGCCACCTGGGGAAAATATTTACTTATGTTTTTATTAATATAGAAAACATAGACTTTAATCTCTGTATAAAAGATGCGAATGGTGCTTATGCTTTGTTTGTCTATTTACACTGAAAGCACTTGAGGGCTGTGGCAGCCTTTATTCTTTGCCTGCATAGCACTCAACAACTCATTTGCAGCTTCATTACAGTTTGAATTGGCTGTATCACCAGAGCTTAAAGCACTGAGTCTCTGCTGCTCCTGATATTTAGTTTTCTACATTTTTTTCTTACAGGGAACAGGGATTATTCCTCTTTTTTGCTGGAGTGAAAAGACTGAAAGGAGGAACAAGTATTAGCTGTTTGGGATGTCTGAAATTAAGTAACACTGAGCAATGTCAGTGCTGTAGACTAAGCATTGTGTCTGTGAATTTAGAGATGGAAATTTACACTTGGAAAGTGCTTTGCTGGGCACCACCGTGGTGGCATTTTTTCATGCTGAGCTCAACATGGAAAGGCACAATTATCATAGAATCATAGAGTCACAGAATGGTTTGGATTGGAAGGGACCTTAAAGCTCATCCAGTTCCGATCCCCTGCCAGTAGACCAGGTTGCCCCAACCAGGCCTTGAACACTGTCAGGGATGGGGCAGCCACAGCTTCTCTGGGCAACCTGTTCCAGTGTCTCACCACCATCCAATTCTCTGGATGTTCATGGGAAGACCCCACTGAAATAATGTTTAAATAACATTAAAGAAGTTAAAATACTTAGTTATTTTAAACTTTTCACATCTTCAAAAGATGGGAAGTTCCTGCTCAGGTGTTTCATTATGGAAATATTTGTGACACTGCGTAAATTCAGTCTGTGCTAGAATGTTCTGCAGTAAAACTGCTCACTTAGCAGCTTGGACTTGCCCATGGGAAGATATTACCTAGGACAGGCTGCAGATAAATGGAGAAAAGGAAACCAGAAGGCTGCCATGTGATGCAACAAAATTTTAATGAGCAAGAAATGCCTAAATTTGCAAAGCAAGATACCACAGAATATGAAAAATCTCTTTCCAGATTATTTCAGAGAATGTTCAACAAATGTCCTGTTCAGAGATATTGTTGTCCTCAGCTGGCTTTCTTCTATCTGTTGTGCAACTACTGATGAAGATACACATCATTGTGAGTGATGTCCATATGGAATAGGCTGCCCCACGATGGTTAAAAAAATGGGAAATCTGGAACAGGCAACAATAGCAAACAACAAACTAGAAATGGAAGGTTAAATAAAATGTAGAAGAAAGATCAGAAATGCAAAGTGGCAGTAGCTCCATTGCAGGGCTGCAGAAATGCTGAACCCTCATCCTCATTGCTCTGCATTTGGGTCTTCATGTCTGTCTTCTGAGACCTTTCTGCTGCCTTTAGCAGGGCCCACAGCTGTTGCGGAGGAAGCGGCTGTACTGGCGGGAGGAGAACGGGCTGCAGAAGCCGCTGCTGACTGTGGAGAGGGCAGAACTTCCATATCCATACTGGGTTCCATATCCAAGAGAGCCCCCATAAAGGCTTCCAGCACCATAAAGGCCTCCCAGCCCTGAGGACCCCCGAAAGGTGGGTGCTCCAGAGGACCCCACCACGGCTTGCTGGGGGAAGGAGCTGAGGATGGGGCCAGGGAAGGTGACAACAACAGGGGGTGGCTGGATCACAGCAGTGGAGTCAGGGCACTGGCGGACACAGGGCTCGTTGCAACTGTTGGCGATGGGCTGGGGGCAGGCAATGTTGCTGCTGGTGGGGCACAAATCGTAGCAAGACATTTCTTTGTAGGAATGAAAGTGATCCTGAAACACAGAGCACAGAGATGAGTCAAAACAAAGCACAAGATCTACTCAAACAACAGGTCAAGGTTTGGTGTTGGGTTGTTGGAGAACAGGCAAAATGATCACCAGATGCATAGGAAAAACTGATGACTGTTCACAAGCTTCCCTGTCAGTCAACATCACTCTTATCTTTCCCATCCAGTAATCCCAGCATTTGTCACATCTGCCAAGCCTTCTGAAACTGCTGCCTCTTTTCTCAATTCATGTTTCCTCCCAGAGGAAAAGAATGTTGGCAGCACAGTTTTTACTACAACACCAACACTTATCCCTGGTGAATGTGGGTTGAAAGCCAGGAGCTGCAGGAGCTTCACCAGAGTTCCTCTTTACACTAAATGGGACGGAAGCAGGTTTTACTGGGAGAGATGAGATGGAGTGAAAAACCCAGCACTGCTTTAACCATACATTTCCTCCTCCTTTCAAGATCCCCGTTTCTTATCAAGCTCTTTGGGGTAATATACTTTTCAGTTGCTCTCTTTTAGTTCTCGGTTCTCTTAATCTTTATGATCCTTCTGGTAAAATCCCCAAAGCATTTGAGCCTTAGATTTATAGACTTGATGTAATAAGTTAATATACACTATAAAAGACTTCAAATATTTCTTGGCATAGCCATGTAATTTCATAGAGAGTGCAGAACAGGTTGGTAAAATGTAAGAAGCCAATTTCCTTCATCAGATAAAAATACAGTTTGCAAACTAACATTTCGGCTAAATGTCTGATCACAAAAGGTTTGACTCAGCACTTTTTCAAGTAAAACATAAGAAATACTACTTTGTTCACTGAATCAGACCACTGGTCTCCTTCCCGTAGCATTGTCTCTGGTGAAAATAATGAGGATTTAAAGTAAGCAGGATTTATGGATACCTATCCATAAAAAACAAATTCAAGCCAGGATTATTTTATAATTTAATTCCCATTTAGATAATGCTCTTTCTCCAGCTGGGTTATTGAACAGTTTAGGATATGCTCTTTCTGATTCAGTCATTAACTGGAATGGTATAGGAGAATTCTGCATTTTAAAGGTCATGCCATCCTACATTTCAAATGTGCTAACAGTATAAGAATGCCCAAATATGAACTACACTGAAATAAGTGCTTCAAACACTAGAATTGACTCCTAAAGCCTACTAATAACAAAATTCACCAAAAAAAAAAAAAAAAAAAAAGGAGAGAAAAAGAGAATCAAAAATAGTCCTAAAAACTCTAATGTAATGGTAGTGACAAGTATTCTAAGCTCCAGTGCAAAGGCATTCTGGCATTTAGAAAGAAATGAAATGGCATCAGACTTACCTGATGTAGAGGATAGTATGCAGGAGAGTGAGATGGAATAGGTCTGAGGCCCTGCTATTTTTATACGTGCTTCACATTGCCTGAGGGGGCTGAGGCACATTCTATCCATGAAGTCATAATCACCAACCAGCCCAAATTTGAAGCACATATAACTTTCCAAAGTGATGAAACTGTTTTTGCTTGCTGTTTGCAAAATCACCCTAAATCTCCGAATAGCATGATATGCACATTCCAGCTCCCAGTTCTCTTTCATCTTGAAGCCTAATTGACCAGCTTCATGGCTGGTATCATTCCACCCTGCTCGCTGGCATCACAGGATGAATTAACTGGTTCTATTTACTTGGCACTTCCTTCATTACCTTCCTGTAATGATTTTAATCAGACCTATAACCTGCTGTCATATACATGTTTGTATTTAAGGGCTTCAGATCTAGGCTGTAATCTAATCTACTCACAGTTTTGCAATGAAATGTTCAGTGAGGTAGAAGACACCTTTTAATCCTTTTCCCAGCCACAGCCACAAAACTTGAGAGAGGTCTTGTACGTATGGTAATCACAGACATTGTCCAATGATCTGTGATTTAGAAATTCTGGGTTTTCCTTGTTGCTTGGCAAGACCAGCAGAAAACAGTGTCTTTTAGTACACAAAACAATGTTTAAACCAAAAGCTAAAGTTTTCTCTGAAGGTGTATCAGTGGTTTTTTCCGTATTTTACACCTGGATTCTTGAAGGCACACAGAGATTCTCTCACAGGTTCAGCAATGTAGAATGGATGTAAATGCAAACAGATTAACTAGCTTTTCTGTATTGATTGCACAGCTCTGAAGGACAGAACACAAGAGAGTGGTGAAGCAGGAGCAAATTTCTCAGTTTCTTTGTGAGATTTTGCATTTCTGCCCAGCACTGTGTTCATTCAGTCTATTATCTTCTCTTTCTTTTTGTTCATATGATGGAGGGTAGTTTGGCCCTTAGATCTACTCCTTCACCTTACATAGAATCATAAAATCATAGAATCAACTAGGTTAGAAAAGACTTTTAATATCATCAAGTCCAACTGTTCCCCAGCACTGCCAAGGCCACCACTAAACCATATCACTGAGGTCTTCATCTACATGTTTTGTGAACACTTCCAGGGACAGTGATTCCACTACTGCCCTGGGCAGCCTGTTCCAATTCCTTTCCATGAAGGAGTTGTTCCTAATCTCCAGTATAAACTTGCACAGCTTGAGGTCATTTCCTTTTGTCCTATCACTTGCTGCTTGGGAGAAAAGACAGACTGACCCCCACCTCACCACAACGTCTTTTCAGGTAGTTCTAGAGAGAGAGATAAGGTCCCCCGGAGCCTTCTCTTCTCCAGACTAAACAACCCCCATTCCCTCAGCTGTTCCTTATAAGACTTATTCTCCAGACCCTAAATTGAACCGAAGTTTCACTGGAGGATGTCACAGAAACAATTTTTTAGTTCTTCCATCCCAAACTTACTGGGTAATTGTCAGGAAAAGCAAAGGGATGATATGAGGAATCCAACAATGGATTTACTACTTTTCTCATATTTCTTTCCTGACTAGCAGAGCATCAGGTACTGAGTGCATATTGTTGCAGAGCCCAATTTTCACTACTCAGTGACGTGTCACTTGAAATTACTCAGCTTTCCCCAATACTTAGTAGGGAGGGACAAGAATTTCTACAAGACAATTCATCCCATCTTGGATGCTTACTTTACCAGAATTGGTATCACTCTCAAAACATACTCATTCTGTTTTCACTGACTATGGAGACAGAAAACATGCTCAGCTGAAACACCCAGCTTTTAAACAGAGAAGATTTGATGAGGTGTGTCCCACCAATACTCTGAATATAATAAGTGTAATAAGGCCTGGCCCAGCCTCAGAACTCCTCATTTGCTTATAGATGGGTTGTTTATTAAGTGAACACTGCACTATTTCTACCAGAAGTTATACATAACTTATGAGACTTTGAGGTGGCCCCAAGGGATTACAAGAACAATAATCCTCACAAAGGGTGTTCAAATACTTTTTGTGTGTGTTTTTAAGTGTTTACCAAAGCCTCCTTAGTAGTTTATGCAGGAAGTGGTGTGTCATTATTGTAATATAACTATGTGGTTGGATTTAAACAGCCCAGCCTTTTGAAATACACTTATTAAATTGTACTGGTCAAGCATACTCTTCCTGTTCTCTTTGCCAGATCATGATTTCTAACCTTAGATTTTCAGCTGATTTTCTTTTATACTTTAGGTTTTCATTTATTTGTTCGTTTAGAAGCTCCTTCAGGGCTGATGTATTAATTCACAGCCCCTTCACTGTTTCTGGCACAAAGATCTGCAACACCTGCCTGTGTACCCATGTTTTGAGAGCTTTTCCTAGGGTTTTCCTAGCCTAACTACAAGTGCTCTACCCCTCTTCGGTGTTTTAAACACATGCTTAGCTTCCTAAAACAATATATTTAACAAGTTGCCTGTAATCTGATAAAGAAACTCTTTACCTTTCTTGACCAAATATGAAGAAAATGAACAACTGGTTTTTCTGGGAGACAATCTGGGTGATTTTAAAAAGTATTTTGAAATGTGTCTTTTTATTTTTCCTCTGAAAAGTGGAGGCTGGTCCTGTCCAAATTGAAATTCCAGCTTCATATAAGAGCTGCTGATTTTGCAGGAAAACTGCCATGGTTTGTATCAATTGTACTTTATCTAGCATAGGTAAAGAAGAAAGGGGAAAACCCTGCATATTAAAGTGGATGGCAATTATGATTAACATTTGAGCCACTGTCATTATGTCGACCAATAGAAGAAGAGGTAAAGAAATGAAGCCAGCATAATTCCTCCTGTTAATGTATTTAATGGACCATTACCAGGAATGAATCTTGCCAATTAAGTGCTAAGATGAAAGAAATATTTGTTTTGTAATTTACATTTTACGCATCATGAGAATTTGAATCAACTAATACACATAAATATTGAGCAAAACTGTTTCATCACTGTGAGATGAAGTATGTGTGATGAATGTAGGCTGGGGTTAATGGGAGCCTCAGGTTCCCAGGCAGTTTGAGGAAATGTATAAAAAGTCCCCCCTCAAAACTGCCTTGTATTTACTTCTATCGCCTTCTTCTTGCCAGACCCAGCTATTTACTAGATATTGGATTGTTCTTTTTCTGTAGATTGAGATTAGTCCTCTTTTGTCATTGTCGTGGTTTAAGCCCAGAACCATGCAGCCGCTCGCTCACTTCCCCTCTTCTTCCTCCCCCACCTCCTGGAGGGATGGGGAGGAGAATTGAAAAAATGTAAATCCCATGGGTTGAGATAAGAACAGTCCAGTAACTAAGGTATAATACAAAACCACTACTGCTACCACCAATAACAATAGCGATAAGGGAAAAAACAAGGAGAGAGAATACAATTGCTCGCCACCTGCCGACCAATACCCAGCCCAACCCGAGCAGCAATCTGGGCCTTCCTGGTAACTCCCCCAGTTTATATATTGGGCATGACATGCTGTGGTATGGAATACCCGTTTGGTTAGTTTGGGTCAGGTGTCCTTTCTCTGCTTCCTCCCAGCTTCACCTCCTCCCTGGCAGAGCTTGAGACTGAAAAGTCCTTGACTGGAGTAAACATTACTTAGGAACAACTAAAAACATAAGTGTTATCATCATTGTTCTCAGACTAAAGTTGAAAACACAGCACTGCACCAGCTACTAAGAAGGAGAAAAATGACTGCTGTAGTTGAACCCAGGACAGTAATTTCTGAAGAAGTAATATTATATTCAGGTTTTAAGGGCTAAGATCTCCACCAGCTCAAATCTGAGCTGTAATCTGCTAAACAGATACCAAAAGCCCAACTGTAGTCCTGCTCTGTGCTCCTGCACCATAAAGGCCTCAGTCACAAACGTGTTTAACAGAGGATATGTCCTCTTGATACTTAATTACTTGGTCTTCCAGCTGCTGTTTCAAATTTGTTTGTATGGAAGAAAGCCAGATCTTGAAAGGGATGTAAGTAAAGCTGCCTACTGACATCAAAAAGGCTGTCTGGGGTGTTAGGAATCAGGTTAGCCTTTGGACAATTCCTTCAAAAATGCACCAAATTCAGACCATGTGGAACTGCCTTTTATCAAAGACAAGGTACAGGATAAAAGCAACCATTTGTCAGAGGAAACATGTGACCTTCTATATTCCTGTGTTTCCACTAAGCAATTGTCCTGGGTTCAGCTACAGCAGTCATTTTTTCTCCTTCTTAGTAGCTGGTGCAGTGCTGTGTTTTTGACTCTCAGTCTGGGAACAACGCTGATAACACTGATGTTTTTAGTTGTTGCTAAGTAGTGTTTACTCTCAGTCTCATGCTCTGCCAGGGAGGAGGGGAAGCCGGGAGGAAGCAGAGACAGGACACCTGACCCAAACTGGCCAAAGGGGTATTCCATACCACAGCACGTCATACCCAGGATAGAAACTGGGGAGAGTTGCCCAGAAGGCCCAGATTGCTGCTTGGGTCGGGCTGGGTATCGGTCGGCGGGTGGTGAGCGGTTGTGTCCTTTCCCCTTGTTATTCCTCTTATCATTATTATTGGTAGCAGTAGTGGTTTGTATTATACCTTAGTTACTGGGCTGTTCTTATCTCAAGCCGTGGGAGTTACATTCCTCCGATTCTCCTCCCCATCCCTCCGGGAGCAGGGGGAGGAAGGAAGAGGGTGGGGGGAGTGAGCGAGCAGCTGCGTGGTTCAAAGTTGCCTGCTGGGCTTGAACCACGACAGCAATTAATCATCACTGAAAAACATTTTTTCTTATAGGGCTTACACCAATTTGAAGAATTACATCCACAGCAGCAAGTAAAATATAGGGGCTGAGGAGAGGTAGTTTCAATTAGGTGGGATGGATCTGGAACTAAATTGGTGTTGCAGAGGATCCAGACTGCTGTACCTTTCCCATTTCCAGGGGATGTAGGCTTTTCTTCCTGTTCAAGAAGAATTTGTCCTGTGTTACACCTACATTCAGTCATGTTTCCAGTTGACCAATTCATGTCCAGTACAAGTGTCAAAAGCTTCAAGGAACTGATTGCCCTGACCTGAGGACAGTGGCTCAGCCACCATCTATTGTCATCACATTACCAGCCCAGATGCTTGGTTTCTTCCTTCAGGACAGGATTTCTGTTAGCACCTGTACTTGAGGGCTCCTGTTGTTACAGGAGCTTTTGTTATGGTCATCTTTACCACAACGGATTGTTTTGCAGATTTTAATGTCCTGGCAACGAGTAGAATATCCCTTCTGGCTGTTGTTTTAAAACTGGATACCACTGTGGAAGCTGTTGGTCTTGCAGGAAGAGCTATTCAATTTACCAGAAATGACTAAATAAAAACAAATAGAAGGCAGATTCATAGCTGACTTTTTAGGTAATGAGTGCTGAGAAGTGTGTAGTATGCACTGCCCAGTTATAAGAGTGGAGCCGGGCATGAGCAGCAGCACTTGCCTTTCTTTCTTCATATTCTGACTTCAGTTTCTGGTTGCAATTTCTCTGCACACTGTTACATTATGCTTGGCCATGCATCTTACTGTAGTAAAATATGTAGCCTAAGATCTTCTGGCAGCTGAACCACTTAAAGAAAACTATCTTGCAAGATAAGCGTCTGCTTGAGTAAGGAGATGGTTATGTGCTTTACTGATAACCTAAAAAGATATACCATGTACAGCACAGTAATTTTGTTCACTTTTAGACTACCTACATAATACTTACAAAATTGTATTTATTTTTAAAGTATACATAACTTAAATGGAATCAAAGAAGTCCCAAACGCAGTAACTCAACCAGAAATTATTATGCACATGGTCCTTATTGTGGTTTTGAAGAAGTGTCATTTGCACACATCCAGAATTTTGGAGAGTGAGGCAACTTAATAGCACAGGTATAGGCTGGTCTATGCTAGAGAAACACAGAATATGAAATTCATTTTATAGCAGTCATCGATCTTCCATCAAGAGCTGTGGTTATGAAATTATTTGTATGACATTAGATTAGAAATCTGCAGTGGAATAAACCAGGGCTTAATTTTCAGAGTGTGAACAGTCTCTTGTAGTTCAAAGAACTATCTTACAAACTCATAAATGGGGAGTCTAACAAAGTAATGTGTAAAGAAGGTTGCTGTTCATCTCTGGCCAGCACATTGTGCCCATGTTGTTGCAATTCAGTAGTGAAACAGGCCTAGCAAGGGCTCCTCATGGAGACTTTCACTATGTGAGCAGGGTTTGCACAATATTATTACAGCCCTATGTACAACAGGCAGCTTTATGCAGAAAAGTTGGCAAGTTCAGAATGGATGAGAATGCAAAACCACAACACAATTATTTTAAATGATGCAACAGAACTTTAATGAGAATCAAAAGAACAAAAATATTGCAATATCAAGAATGTATATCCAAGATGTCAGAGTCAAATGCATTTTGAAAGACTAACTGAATTCAGGCACAAGTATGATCAAGTTGCAGATAACAAGCAATTGAACCCATCAAGGTATCAGGAAAGAATTCAGAAGAAAAAAAGAGAGGTGTGGAGCATGCAGAAGACACTGCACTGAACAGGATTTGTGAGAGCTGTCACTCCTCTGCTCGCTGGTGAATCTGCATTTTGCACACTATTCAGTGGATTTTCCTGTTGAGTTTACCAGAAGCCACAGTTGCCACGGAGGTACCTGTTGTGCCAGTAGGAGTAAGGGCTGGAGTAGCCAGATCCATAGAGTCTACCATACCCATGCAGACCCCCATAACCCAGAGAACCCCCACAGCCATACAGACCACCATAGCCCAGGGAGCCATAGCCCCCATAGCCATAGTGACCTCCATAGCCTCCCAGGGCCCCATAGCCCCCATAGCCTCCAAGGCCACTATAGCCCTCAAGCACAGGTGCTCCAGAGGATCCCACAGCTGAATGCTGGGGGAAAGAGCTGAGGATAGGGCCAGGGAAGGTGACGACCACTGGAGGTGGCTGGATCACAGTAGTGGTATCAGGGCACTGACGGACACATGGCTCATTGCAGCTGTCAGCGAGGGGCTGGGGGTGGGCAACGCCAGAGGCAGAGCTGGAGACCAGGTCGTAGCAAGGCATCTTGTAGGGATGGAGGTAAGCTGTGACAGACACTGAGAAGTAAAAGAAAGATACAAGTTTAATGAGAAAAAAGAGTTTGAAATTTGGACACATGGACTAGAATAATGGCTTTATCTCTCAGGTCTTGTTTGTCCTTCCTGCTCTTTAGTATTTTTCATGAAACATCTCTCTGTCTTGTAGAACAGCATTGCCCAGATTGCACACTAAGCAGTGACCTCTTCTACAGTCTCATTCCTTATTTCTTATATTTGCTTCTCTTGAACAAGTAGTTCTTTGTTCTACCCTGCTGCCAAACACTGCAAAAATATAATCCAGCACTTTACTCTGCAAACTACTTCCACTAAACTTTGCAGCCACTCTTACAAGTGTCTGTGTCTGAAAAGTTGTGTCATGTTTGTTTTATGCTAGCAAAAACAAAGCAATGCAACCTGACAACCAGCAGAACTCGTGGTAAATTAATGGGTAGCTGGAAGAACAACTCTGGTATATTGAGTTTTAACATGCTTCCAGAAGCAATAGCTAATATCATGCTGCCGGTATGCTGAACCTGCTTTAAAGATGGACTAAATAAGGCATTCCCTGCCCTGAAGTGCTTGTGAAGTAGCTTAACAGTCACAGGGTGGGTTAAAGGATTGTCTGATTCCCCAGAAGGGAAACTGGCACACTCAGGTAAACCTACTGCAGACAAGTATTTTGGGATCTGAGTTTTCAGAAAGACTTTTACCATAGGATCTAATCCAATCTAAAAGAAAACCCATGGAAGGACTAGGAAAATTGCCTGTGAACCATTTTTTTTCCACCACTAGAACCGATAAGACATTAAAAGAGAATTCTGCAGGTCATCTAGTCCAACTCCTTGCTTAAAGCAAGGGCAATGTAAAGGGTAGCTTAGGTTTTCCTAGCTTCATCTCCTAGTTTTGCAGTGTTTCATTACTAGTTTTCCAATACTTCTTTAGACAATACTTCTCTAGACAATACTTCTCTATTCTTTCTAGTTAAATTCGTCCCTTTAACAAACTGATATATATGCATAGACACATACAAGAAACATGCAAAATCCTTAACAACTTCCTAGTGACTGAACAAGCCTTCTGCTGATGTTTTGGAAGCTGTTTTTGATAGGTCAAATTCGTATTAACAGGAAACAATAATTTTTGAAAACTCTACTTTTACCATTTTAAACCCAAATACATGGATGAACAATATCAAATAAGAAAAATTAATTCATGGCAAAATAATCCAACACTATTAAGAATCTTAGAATACTTATGGATTATTCCAACCTTAATTAAAACTGGCAGAAAAGATATATTTGAATTTTAGAAGAAAGCACATAGAGTGATACTTACCGTTCTCACAGAGGTGAATAAAGCAAGCAAAGTGGAATGAAGGGCCCTGAGTTGGGACAGCTTTTATACTTCTCTAGACCATGGGGATCAGCCAGGGTGCAATTTGAGCATGTGCATAATTGGGGCAAACCCCAAACTTAGACGACACGTAGATCCTCAAAATTTTGCTGACTATTTGTTCATTTGTTGTTCTAAGTCTCGTGAAATATGATAGGTGCATTTTGTCATGGAAGTCTCTTTCATCTCAAATGGCTTCATGTCCTATTCATTCTTGTTATCATTCCATTCACATCCTTAGCGTTACAACAAGAATTATACTAATGTTCTTCCTTGGCTTCTCCATTATTAATGGCAAAAGCCATTGCGTGGCTTGGTCATCTGATGTGCACAGATTTTTCCATTAGATCCAGGCTATAAGACACCTGGACACAAAATGGAGTTCCACTGGAGCAACTCTGGGGTCGTCATTTTTATCTTGATCATTTGCACTCTCAGCTACTTAATGTGACATCAATACTGCACCTAAAGGAAGTAATAGAAGACATCCTCTGGTGCTTAAATGGTTTTCTGTTGGTTTGCTTTTGCTCCTATCACAATGAACAAGGGACTTGAGGAAACACCTCTTGCCTTCTTTGTTATGCATTCAGCTGTGGATTACTTACTGTCCTTGTCCTTACCCCAAAAAGGCAAGTTTTTTGAACCATCTTAAGCAAAAGGCAGTAATAGAACATCCTTTTAAACTACTAAGATTTTTCTAATAGGTATCTCAGTGTATTTCAACCCAGATTGGAGTCTAGAGGCAAACTAGTAATTAACCTTTCTGTTCTCAAGATTACAAGATACTTTCTTTGTGAAGCATTTGACTGCCACATCTTCCAGTTTTCTGTCTCCTGATACAAAGCCTTTAGGGATCCAGGATTCCTGGAGTTAGGTCCATCTTCTGATCAGGCAATATTGAATACTGCTGAGGAATAAAATTAATAAAATGTGACTGGTGGCAACTTGCTAAAGCTATCTGGAGATATGCCACAATAAAGAAAGAAATAATTTACATGAATAAAGGCTGATCGTTGATAGAATTTTAACATCTCAAGAAATAATTGAGTCCTCTGTGTGTGACTGAAAATGATAAAGATACGCTGATTATACAGCTTTGTGAAATGCTCTATTTTACGAAAAACTTGATGGTTTATTTTATAATACCATATTGGAAAAAAAAGGAAGGTGACAAAATCCTCAGTATTCAGCTATGAACTGATTATACCAAGAACACAAATATCTTGACTTGCATACTTTAATGTGATGTCATTCCATAATTGCTAGATACATAAGTCCAGGTACATGCCTTCAATCTAATCTAAGATTGCATTCTAAAATCATCAGTGGATAGTTGGTGGCATTTGAAAAGACTTGCTCCCTGGAAGCTTGAAAATATTATTGTCCAAAAGAACTGTTAACCACTTCAAAGGCTGAGAAACCCACCTCATAATTTAGAGATAATCTATGGCATAGAGTCTTCAGTAGTAAAATAATACACTTGTAAAGAAGGCAAGAACCAGCCTTTGTTTTCTGTGGTGCATTCCAAGTTCATAATTGTTCCCTGTTCCCAGAAACTGCCAGCTCAGCCCTGTTCTGGATTTACAGCTTGCAGCCACGATAGTGTATTACAAGAGGCCATGAATTCCTGAGAATCAAAGTCAGTAATTCAAAGCACTTCTATCACATTTCAGTTTTTGCACCAAAGGATCTCAAACACCATCTTTGTACTGGCAACATCAAACCAACAATACCTGAAAAAAAGTCACTTTGGAATCTCCTATCCCTTTAGTTAACTTCAGAAACTCATTTCTTGCTTATGTCTTAAAAACCAAAAGCAAGCCTGCTTATGTAAAATTCTGCAGAGTTCCATCTACACATTTTTTGCAGGAGAATACGACTGTTAGAGTGACCGATGGATGCAGAAACTGATTCAGGTCATAGCTTCATGAAAAGAGCTCCCAACATTCCAAAATGAAGGGTTTCACCTTTTTTTCTGCTCAAGGTTGATTTTCAACTTCCACATAAGACCTATTTAGAGACTGAAGCAGGTCTCTGGAGTTGCTGCTTCTCTTCTGAACTGAATTGACTCCATTATAGCCACTGTCAAATGCTACTGGAAAATATCATTGGCTCCCAATGTTGCTGTATCCCCCAGCTGTAGGTAGGGAAGCTAAATCATCCCCAACCTTCCAGGCACACTGACAGTCTTTACCTTTCATCCTGTAGGTTGTAATATGAATCATACTTACTTAAACAAAAATCCTGTCCACGACAACAGTTTGCAATTTTGATAAACCCATGAGACACTCTCCAGGTGTTAATACAAGAGGAGGTGGCTTAATAATTTCTGTCAAGGAAGCAACTGGAATAATGTCAGGTATTAATTTTCCCCAGGTTGTCACAAGGTGAAAGAATTATCTATAAACTAAAGTAATGTTTACATCCTTATACAAACAAATTTGAAAGGACTCATAAGTGCCAATAACGAAAACAGCAATTTCATCATCTTGACTGGTTACACGTGTTTGAAATTGGGGTGGGCAACCGGTGTTGATCTTGTACCTCCCAGATGCTCTGATATAAAAGCTCTTCTCTCTTATAGGTCTTCTAAACACTTCCCTTGACTTCTTGGTGACTTGGGTAAGTCTGATTTTTCTCTATTGCTATCAGGGTATGTTTTTATTGCTGGTTTCAACTAAAGTTGATGCCCACCATCCATACTGTTGAGTATATCTGCACTGCCTTGGGACAGAGATTCTAATAATGGTTCTATGGTGGCAGATACACCTATTCGGTGTGTGTGTACCTCTGGAGTTCTCAGTGTCAGAAATACTGGAACTTGGAGAAACTGGATGATACTCTTAGTCATCTGGTTTAGTTTTAGGTAGTTTTGCAAGGAGCAGGGAGTTGGACTTGATGATCCTTATGGTTTCCTTCTAACTTGAGAAATTCTGATTCTTACTTCAATGCATTTAACATATTCCAAAGTTTGCATGTGAGGTTCAGCATTTAGTAAGGGCATCATCACTGCAGCCATTCACACAATCTTAGATGAATGAGCAATGCTTCTGAGAACATGGTGTGTGTTGTCCTGGTGTGGCAAATCAAGCTGTTTTTTTGTTTCTTGCTTTCATATTGTTCCTCAAAACCATGCTAAGGATTTATAGGATATGGTGAGCAGAGAAGAATAAAATCACCCTTGGAGAAAATAAGTTTAGAGGGAAGAATACAAGCTGAATTCTTGGGTTTACCAAAGAGTCCTAGTTTGTCCTGAGAATATAATTTGAAATGAGTTTCTTGAAAGACACTGAGGACTAAAACACTATTTATGTTGAAGTTGTCCAGACTGAATCCATACAGTGGCTGCATAAGTAGGAACTGGGATAATAATGTTACCATGTATCCTTTATTGTCTTGTCAAATGGCTTTCTTAGCAATCAGGGCAGTCACAGTCCTGTAATCTGTTGTTCCTGCAACTCTCAGTAAAACTGGGATGAGTGGGAAGAAGAAGCTACTGTAATTAAGTTGTATATAAGCTACAT